AATATAATATAATATAATATTTTATAATATAATATAATATAATATAATATAATATAATATAATATAATATAATGTTTCCTTGGCGAAGTGACGTAGTGTTGGTTAAGGCTTGTGACCTTTCTGCCTCAAGGTAAGGAGGAGACTCTGCCGGGTTTTCGCTGGTGGAGCCGGGCTGAGACAGAAGGAGAAAGCGCAGCTGGCAAGCGCTTCTCAGTTTCGTTCCTGTCTGAGGTGTGAGAGAGGAATTGTGGCCAACATCGACCAGGTAGCCTGCCATTGAGACGCTCAAAGCATCTCAAAACCGCGCTCAAGCTTCGAGCTGTCGGGACGAGTATCGATCGGAAATGTCTTCACAGGGCTGAAACTGGACCCAATCATGCACACGAAGAGGGGTCATGGGCGGGTGTCCAAGCGGCGGCGCACAGCATCAGTGGCAGCGACAGGAACAGGATCTAACCCTTCACCCTGCGTTAGAGCTGCTTCTTTATATCCGAGGTTGTAGCCTCTCTGAAGGTGCAAGCGGGTTTGCTTTCCACAGAGGTGGCAAAAGAGTTTTCACGCTGGCGCCGCCTCGAGCCTGTCAAGATCTGTGTCGCTGGGAGCCCGGCCGGATGGTTTCTGGTCAACTCATGGGTTTAGGGTTTAGGGTATGTTGGACTTGCAGACTTGACAAGCCACTGGGACATAGACAGGAGATGAACCACTCCTGGACCGCCAGCCTTTGAAGTGTGATGTGCATGTGGACGCTGTGCTGGACATTCTCGAAACGTCTCAAAGCCTGCGGCATGGTGATGAAATCATTGAAGCTTTCAGCTAGATCTAGATTTTTTTTGTCATACTGTGGTGCCGCGGACGAGGAGCCCCAAGGGTCCGCCGCGGAAGACACACTCCCTGTGACTTGCCCAGCCGGCCCGGCCGGATCCCACCTAGATTTTATTGCTCTTTTCAATATCACAAACGAAAGCACGCTATAAGAGCAGCATCAAGAAGTGGAGCGCGCCCCTCGCATTAGTTTGCTGTCCGTTTCCTGCCTGGGTTGCGCCATGGATGCGCAAAGCCCTGGAGAGGAACTGGAGTATGTGATCTCCGTGGACAGGACCCTGATAGGTGGTGTTGCGCCCTTCTGTTCACGAAGATCTGCTGTCAGCTGAACCCACTACGAGAATGGAATCTGTCAGAACCGATTGTGAAGACTTTCTGTCGCTTCGTACGACAGGGTGCCCGGAGCCAAGCTCGGCATCGATGTCGATCCAGGCCCATCTTGATAATATCATGGACATGTTGTTGGAAACGGCATCTTTCAAACGAAAGACCTGCACCACTAGCTCTGGTGAGATCCAGCATCGGCCACTGTACGGCAGCATGGGTTATGCGGATGTTGTCCATGCTATTATCGCACCCCCAAGCACCCTGTGCACATCAACATCCGAGCAGCCTGAAAACAATCGCTAGGCGAGGATGGTATTCGACTCTCGGTGGTCGCTGTCAAGGACGGCCTAGTCAATTCCTGGCGCCTTCGTTGTACTTGAGATATGCTGCCACGACCACCACCACCGCCACCGCCACTGCCACACCGCCGCCGCCACCACCACCACCACCACCGCCACCACCACACCACCACCACCACCACCACCACCACCACCACCACCACCACCACCACAACCAGCACCGACGTTTATTTTGTATTGCGCAGCAAGCTATTTGTGGTATCTTCTGAGCTGGGGCATGGGCTTGCAGATTTCTTTACGGATCGTCTGCAACTCAGGAACTTTGTGCACCCGGACAAGGAGGTGGGCCTGTGAGTCGTACAAGCCAGTCACTACCCACTACCCCTCGGTCTTGTGTCTCCGGGGTGCATGACGAAAACCGACCTGTTAATCATGGTATAGAATTTATCGGTATCTTGTCCCCAGATGCTACAGATTCCGAGGAAGCTCTTGTGGTCAGATGTCAGATGTGCAAAATAATACGGACGGAGTGCCCCCCATCGCGAGCAGTGAAATCGTGGTGACCCGCTTTTGAGATCGGCCGTGTGCGGATCGCAGTTCGGCTTCAAGTTCTGCCCGTGCTTGCCAATCTCCCCGGAGAGCCCAACAGAGGCCTCGCGCACCCTGCAGGTGCACCCAGGACATTGCATCCTGGAAGTCAACGGTTTCCGTGGCACTCCCGAGGAGCTCAAGGCATTGCAGCATGTGATGAGGATTTTGCCACTTCCTAACAGCACTCGGTCAATTATGCTCGCATTTGCATTCCGCTGGTTCGTGATGTAGCGATCGGTACTACAGTAGGTTCTTCCCATGGCTCGGAAGGCAGCCTGCCGCGTGGAAGGTGAGCTTCGGATACGTCTGCGACGGAATGAGGACCAGGCCGAGGAATGTTCCTAGTTTGACGCGAGCTAGCTTCCTCGGATATGTTTTTTGAAAACGTGAGTTGTGGGAACTGTGGTGCAACATGCGTCGTAGTTCCGAAGCATGCGCTTCAATGGCTTTGCTGCTTTGCGTTTTCTTGCAGAGGTGGGCCAGTGGTGGCCTAGCCCACTGCCAGCTTCAGAGCCTCCGGCCAAGGCAGGCCGTGTTTAGCACTTCCATCTTCGCTTATGCATTGCACAGTCTGGTGATCCACCCCGCTCTGCATGGCTGTGAAGGTTGAGACCCTGAGTAGACCGGCTCGGAGAACGGACAAGCGCATTGTGCAGCTTCCCGAGAGCAGCTGGATGTGCTTTGGCCCAGAACTGTGGAGTGGGCTGAGGGTTTGAGCCTGGGAATCGACATGCTCCGCCTTCCTTCCCTGTTTGAACTCTTCAGTTCCTTGAGAGCCAAGGTGCATCGGTTGGTTTCTGTACACAAACGAGCTTCTGGGAAAAGTTGCGCCGCTTTGCAAGAGCTTTTGGTTGCCATCTGGACCTCAGCGTTGTCGGATTGAGAGAGTCAGAGTAGTCAGGGCTGCAAGTATGCTTGGGCCGCGAAGGTCGTAGAGTAAACTGTTGTGCTTATAACAAACCGAAGGCAATAGCATGAAGATAGAGAGTGTCGGGCGAAAGGCAGTCCGCAGAACACAGTCCGCAGGCAGAGGGCGAACCTGTGAACTCTTTTTGCCAAGGACATTGAGCAGCTGCTTCGCAGCGTTGCTTGGGGTCGGGAACTTACGTGGGCGATGCTTGACAGTGGTTGGACGCTCACTTGACCGGCTGCGCTGCAAATATCATGTCCATGTGGATTTCTCGTCCTGACTTCGTGTAGCGATGCAGTCGGAAGAGAGCCAGCAGAAAGAACTCAAAACCCCTTGCGTCCCTGCAGTTTCCCGCAGGATGAACGCAGCTGGCAGACGCTTGCGCTTCGCGAGGTGCGGACGATCCCCGTTGATAGGCTGCAGAGTCTGTGCGAAGAGGATGCTGCGTTTTGTGTGTAATCAATGTTCAACACTGTTCAGTCACATGGGAAGCAGTTGGTCCACTGGTGCCAAGGGAGGTATAAGGTGGCAGGTTTCGGTGCATCTGACTTGGGTCGAGGGTTTTCATAAACAGGCAGGGAGACCCAGACAGCATTGTGTGTGTGTGTGCGCACGCAGAACACAAATTGTGCATTGACAGGTTGATACAGCTGAACTCTCCGGTACAGCAAATTTCACACGCATTCGATTCAGGCAGTTACTGTAGTTGGATTTTGACGATCAGGCTAGAAAGCAAGCGAAGGAGACTGCAACCGGGGAACATCCACAAGCTCAGGGGGAAGCATTAGCGAAACTTCTCTAAGGAAGGCATCATCATCATCCTACTGTTGTGAATGGCTGGAGGCAGAAGGGGTAGGCTCAAAAGACTGCGATTGCCAGCCGCAACAACACGACGCTTCAAACAAGCTTTGGGGACAGTTAGAGTAACATGCTCAAGCGAGCTTCTCAGCTGCAAAGGGCACGGGTGCCGCGACAGAGAAGCTGCTGAAGCTGAATCTTAGCAGATGTATAGCGAAGCGGGTGGGATGGCAGGTTCGGGCTTAGCAGATGTATAGCGAAGCGGGTGGGATGGCAGGTTCGGGCTTAGTTATGTAGTCTTATTCACTCGTGTAGAGCCATTTTCAGACTGAGAGCTGCTTAGAAGTCTAAGCAGCATGCCTAATCGTTTGGGCTCTCGGCAAGCAGGACGTGCATGTTTGCAGGTGACAGGCGACAGAAGTGCTGCCTTAGACGCTGTGGATTGGAACCGGGACAACAGGGGAAGTGTCTGCAAGAGCCCACTCAGAGCAGATGCCAGCATCTAGAAGCTAAGGATGCTGGTGGAGGAGCAGGCGGACTGCGCAGGGAGGGATCGCCTGAACGTGCCGGTGTCCAAAATTTGACGTCCATGTTAAGGATTTGTCAGGAAGAAGGAAGATTCCACATGAATCCTCTCTAGCCTCACGCTATGCAGATTCCTACGTCCCCTAAACCCCTAAACCCTAAACCCTAAATCCTAAACCCCAAGCTCCTGCAGGAGCTGTGGAACTGGCCGCTTTGTCAGGCGCCAGTCTGCTCAAGGAAACCCAAAGAAAAGCAATGCCGGTAGGGTTCAGGGTTCAGGGTTTAGGGTTCAGGGTTTAGGGTTCAGGGTTCAGGGTTTAGGGTTTAGGGTTCAGGGTTTAGGGTGTAGGTTTAGGGTTTGCTCAAGCTCCTAAACAGGGCCGGTTGTCCGGCAAGAGTGAGAGTTGGTAGCATTAACTTGTACAGTTGCGGACAAGTCCGTGTGAATGTTGAAACCAAAGACAAGATGGCCTTCGAACTCGCTGGCTGGCGTTCCTGCGAGAGCCCCCAAGTTGACAGGTAGTGTGTGCTAAGCTGCTAAACTGTACACCATGTACATTCCAAGCCGAAAGCACCTGCAAACGAGTCGAGCGCATCTTGTCCAGGTCTCGTAGATTTCCTTGCGCTGGGGCTGTCTGCGTCCAAGCTCTCGTCCAAGTGCATGGGTGGTTACTGAGAAGTGCATGGGTGGTGACTGTTCGGTCTCTCAATTTCAAGTGTCGGTTCATTTTGCCACGCGTGTGACAGGCTTGCGTATCCACTCAATCCCACACGCATGACCGCCGTCGCAGGTGCGCGTGGTAGACTTGGATTTGGCATGCACCAATCCCAAGGCCTCAGTGCGTTGCTCTGCAAAAGGTTGGAGGTGTTGGAATGAGGATGTAAGCTGTGAGATCTCGACGAACTCGGAAGCACGACAAGTTTCCTTCCTTGTTGATGAACCGCCGAACACGGCAGCTGTAAATTGGTCGCAGGCATTGCGGGCGATAAGCATTTTGGGCGGAGGTTCGGGTTTGGTGTTCGGGTGTTGGGGATGTTTTCAGCTCTTTAGCAGAACATGCGCTGCAGGCCACCAGCCACCTATGGACTCTGACGCTTCGCAAGCTTGACTTGGAGGAGCTGTTACCCCGGAACGGGAAGATACAGATTCGAGAGACCGGATGTGCTGGGGCTGTGAAAGTGCCCGCATCTCTGCTGCGGCGCCTTGCAGCATGTCTCGTTCCACAGTTAACAAATAACAAACGAACAACCAATGCCTGCTATACTGCCAAACGTCACAGCCCAACTCATTACTTCGCCAACTGCCCGTAAGTTCGTTGCTATCCGGCAGTGTCGGTGCGTGCTGCATGTGCGAGCACATATTCATATTCGCGAGTAGAACGAACGAGCTGTGGTCGGAGCAATGCTGTCACGATACTCGTTTTGTTTTTGGAGCTGCTGGCAATCTGCATGCAGGAGAACTTGTGCTCCTTGCGCCTGCGGAACATTCCTGTTGCAGTGAAGCCGTCGGAGGAGCCAGCACAGGGGTTAAAGGGCTTCCTGAGTAAGTCTTGGTCTCGAGCTGTTTTTCTGTACTTCAAACCACGGCCTGCGAGTCACTGCAGGCCGAGCTCTCAGACTGGGACCGGGAGCTGATCAGACTCCTAGCTGCCTGTTTCGCAGAGACGGGGACGCAAGAGTTTCACTTGGCGGCAAACCTGCCAAGGACTGGTGAATCCAGTGCATCCGAGACCAGGCTGCAGCTGGAGAAGCAATTCGAGCTCAGGGTGGACTTGGATATCGATCCAGCTATCCGGTGCTCCTGAAGAGAAAGGGTCTGATAGGAGCAGAACAATTCGATAGAGGTGAGAGGCAATCCTGTGGCTCGCGCATCCGAGGAAGTTTCCTGCTGGCTCTTGTACAAACTTCCTTATCACGGGCGAGTGGCTCGGTGAAAGCTGATTCCCCCCCAAAGGGTCAGGAGCCAACTTTCAAGTTCAAGCTGCCGAATCTGCAGAAATTTAAGACAGAGAGTGTCGGCCAGCCACCTCAACCAGACTGAACATGCAGTTTGGTTTGGTTTTGTTTGGAACGTTGCCTTTTTCGAGTGTTGTAATCTTCTTTTTCTCTTGTCAGGCTTGCTTTCGGGCGGACCGCACTTCTGCTTTTGTTGCCCAGGCTTGGGGAACTGAGACGAAGGTACAAGGACGCAGAGACACAGAGATGCATGGCGATAGAAGCTGGAGTCTAGACGCGGGCTGCATCGAAGCACACATTCCGTGAGAATGGTTCCCAAGAAATGTCACGTCTGCCCTCCTACCGCAGGACTTTGGATCTTTCTGCATCAAGCCTGTGCGAGATCGTGCAGGTATCGCCTGCCGTGCGATTGACGTCACTTGGGCGGACACAGCGTCGAGAAGTGGCATAAATTATTCAGAACGATGCTGAGCATCCGAGCTTTCGTATCTCGGTAGCTACTTCTCCCAGCCCCATTCAGTTGTTGTAGTTTGACCTGAATGTCGTCTAAGCTGAAGGAGAGGGCGCTCCAGTCGTGGGGCTCAGGTCTCTGCGCAGCGCGGCCTTGCGGAAACTGTGTGGTCCAAGCCTAAGTACAAGGCACGGGGGAGTGGGACAACGGTTCGCGTTTGGCATCGAGAGCCTGGCACCTCCTCTTGGCACATTCTGGTTCCCAGCTCTGGGCTGTAGAGTTCTCCTGTTCCCGACTCAGCACAGTAATCTTCCTTGAGTCCCTGTCGTTTCCCGCAGGACCTCTCCCAGCAAGCAGCGCATTTGGTTGCCACTTGGTAGCAGTGCCACATTTGGCTGGACCAAACCCCCATGCGATGCTCCGTTCATTCGACAAGCATGTGGTTGGGATGCCTGTTGCAAACCCTGATGCAAAGGAGCATGAGTTGGGACAGCTAAGAGAGCTGCCTCCTTCCAACATTCTAGTAACAGATGCTCGGCCGCAAAGTACAATCTAAGTACAATGTACGACTGTGCTGGAGTAATGCAATCCCTCGGCTATGTCAACTTCTGTCACATGAGCTCTGGCCAAGGATAATTTTGACAATTGGGCTGAGCGCATGGCAAAGACCTACAAGCGGATTTTAATTGTGGCTCGGCAGTGGCTCTGTTCTTCACAGCGAGGGGTATTTGTATTGTGGTATTCCACACGCAATGAGCGCAATCGCAGAAAATCTCTCGCTTTGCCCTCGCAGACTTGTACACACCTAAGTCCCACTGTGCTGAGCCGTGTGCCCGCCACCTCTGTGCAGTCCATGCCGGAGCAGCCCGCCGCTTTCTCATAGCTGCCGCCTGCGAGGCGAGGCCATCACTGATAGATAGAGCATTCTGAGTGATTCTGCTCTTGTTCCGCTTCGTAAGTGGCACAGCTCGAGCAGCCAAGGCATGTGCAAGAAAGCCGGTGCAGACGATGGCTGAGAAAAGGAGTTCTCTTGCTGTGCATCGGGTAGGCGCACCGCGGTCTTAAGTCTCAGTCCATCCTAGCTTAGCTCTCAGGTGGGCCCGCCGGGCAGTGGCACTTCGCAGCTGTGCCACTGGGCCTCAACTGTCGTTTGTGTGTCTTCCGGGCTTTCCGGAATGAAAACCCTTCTGTGGAGAGTGCAGAGCTTTAGCGGAGATTCTCACCACTCTCTTTCTCTGTTCGAAAGTCCGGCTTTTTGGGTTAAGGAAATTTGAAAGTTGCCCTCTAGCCGATTGGGAGAAGATTGCAGGTCGTAAGCTGGCCGAGATGTACAGCATCCCAGCAATTGTACTGGATGAGCTCATCGAGGTCACGGGTGCAGCTTTCGAGCCTGTATCAATAGGTGGGAGAATTCATGCATCAGGCTGCTCATTCTTCGGCCAACAGAGTCCTGGTTGTGGAATCATGCAATCTTCCTCCCGCAATGGGCGGTCACACGTTTGAGAGAAGCGGGGTTATTCAGCTGTGACACTGCACCTACGTGACTGTTGGCAGTGGGTCCTCATGTGACAGGAGCAGCGACAGCTTGAAACGCCACTTGGAACCCAACTGAAGGAGCAGTCCGCGGCTTACTGGAGCTGGCCTTTCGATTCCTTTTCTTTGCGTCCACTATCGTCGGGTTCTTCCAGGTTGGACCTCATTGCGGCCAACGTGGCAAATCCAAAGTCCACCGGGCCGTATCTGCCTTCAACTCAGCAGCTGGACGGTGGCTTCGGGTTGTCGCGGAATTAGAAGTTCGCGCTGAACAAGTCGACATCCCAGCCCCAGATATTAGTTGTGCATTTCTCGAGTCGCATTCAAGGCTTCCTGCAGCCCTCACGACTCAGCTTGTGGACGCAGCGATCAACACGGCTGCAGGCAGGAACCAAAGATCTGATTTCTCCCCGTACCGAATCTCCTACCTCTTCTTTGGAGGCCGCCATCGTGGCTGGGTGTTGAGTGGCTGCCCCTCGTCGATGGAGGCATCCGGGAACCCTGAACCCTGAACCCGAAGACCAGCATGGTATTCTGGACTCCTTTTCAGGCGGACGGACGGAAAAGAGGTGATTAAAAAAGAAAACCCGATGACCAGCCCTAAACTCTGAAAGCCCTAAACCCTAAACCCCAAACCCACCTAAGCCTCCACCCTGCACCCGTCGAATCCCGACGCAAGGAGACCTCGGCGCTCTTCTTGGACTTGCCGGCGCCGGTTGAGACCGCTGCAGATCCCAAGAAGAAAGCCAAGCCTGCCGAGGACTCCACTGGGCAGCGCAGAAAGCCCATAAATGTGGCCTCATGCAGCCTGGGGCTTCGAAGGGTTCCGGAATATAGGTTCTTCGATCGAAGATGGACTGGCCACCCCCGGCGCCTGGGTAGTTTGGGGCTTTTGTTTGAAGGCTTCAGCCTGGGAAGCAATACACTTTCTCCGAACAAAGATGGTGCAAAATGATGCCAAAGCGCTTTGGAGGCGCCTCGCCACATGTCGTCTCGATTGTTTCAGGCAGTACGGAGCTTCGCCTCTTGCTTCTCCTGTTTGAGCTTGACCAGGAGCCGCAGATCGCAGAGGATGCCAAGGTCAAAGAAGGCTTTCAAGTCGCCGCTGGATGCACATACGGGATTTCAGGCAGAGACAGGGAGACTGCAGAGCACACCCTAAACCCTAAACCCTAAACCCCTAAACCTAACCCTAAACCGGGAAAGCCCCCGCGATTGAGGATGAGAGTTTACGTGCTGTTACATGCCTCCTCCTTTCCTCCGGAGTCCAAACCTTTGTGTGAGTGTACTGTGTAACATCTTGGAACCCTCAACAGGCGGGGGCTCACATGCGCGCAGTGGGGCAACAACCTCTCACCACAGCCCTGGAGAAAGACAGAGAGACTGCACAAACACTGCTGTTGCACTTCGCCAACTGGCGTGTAAAAGCGTTATCTGAAAACCCAAGACAAAGCCCCCCTTCACTGACGTCGACGAGGGGACAAAATGGTGTTGAGCGATGCTGAATGCACGGGTCCGAAGGCAGGAAGGGCAGAGGGCTCTCGCAGATGGATGTAGCAAAGACCTCTGCTTAGGGTGCGAGAGCACGGAGGGTGGATGTTCGACCCCTCAAAGAGGAGGACAGAGAGATAGTGGCTTGCCTTCGTAGTGGGTGGAGACGCGTCCGCCGGCCTCTGAACCTGAGAGATGACATCAAATGTTGAGGACATGGTCATTCGCGTGACAAGCGCCGAGGAGGTGGGCACTCAAAGAGATAGGTCGAGGTACTCCTCAGGCTTTCTTTGGCTTCTGGCCAGTTTAGTTTCGGATGTCTTGTTATAAGCTTCCCAGATGGGTCGGTGCGAAATGAACGAGTGCTGCTGGAATGCTGATTATAACTGGGTAGTGCATGTTGGTCGCGCTTGCTACAAGTGATGCAGGTCTGTTCGGCAAGGGCACAGGCTGCAGAGGGCAAGCCATTCGTACCATGGCAGCAAGTGCAGCTTGCGAAACCTAGATCTCTTCACCATGCAGTGGAGGAGTAGTTGTGTTGTGACGCTGGGTCATTCCGCCTCGCGCCACAGCTTCGCAGCGGGCCCCCTGTAGCAGACGGCCAAATGCCAGGTGGAGAAGGAGTTCCAAGCTGCTTCGGACTTATGGAAGAAGGCCACATGCACATCCAAGAGCATGTGCGATCCTGAAAGGCGGACAGTTTCTTGAACAATGTGTTGCTGTTGGCGAGCCTACCTCTGCTTCGCGTCCGGCAAGCCTCACATCCTGAGCGCAGGATGGCGACGCCGTAAACGAGTTCTTTGTCGAGCGTTTGGGCGTAGCGCAGCTTTCTGTTTCGGCCGACGCAGCGGCAGAGGCAGGGTTGAAGCCTTGCAGCCAACATGGTACAAGTAAGATGCGTAAACCGGTTGCAGTAGCCGTGCGTGGGCTTGTACGGTTGCGACAGGCTGAGAAGGAGAAGCACGAGGAAGCGCTCAAAGCCGCGGAAGAGGCCGGCGCTGGTTTGCAAAAAGGGCTCCTATACTTGTCACGGCAGGGATCTTCTGGCTGGCGAGATGTTCTGAAAGACAATACAAGAAGTTTAATTGCGAACACTTGGCATCTACACTGCAGTATACGTATACATTCAATCGCTTGGCATCTGCATGTAGTGCTTCTAACATCATGCAATCCGATGCCACAGGGTTCAGTCAAGTCAATGTGCCCAGGCGGAGCAAGAAGCACCTCCTGCACCGGATCCTGCGGATTTAGTAGTGCTCGCGCCAGGGTCTCAGTCTTTTTTTGAGAATAGGTCCGTTGCACCGGAGACAGAGTTCATGAAAGAGGATGAGTGCGGCGGTTGCAGCAGCAGCAGCTGCTGCTGCCACCTTTTCAGCAACAGCAGTTGCTACTTCTACTGACGACGACTGCTACTGCTGCTGCTGCTGCTGCTACTACTACTACTACTACTACTACTACCACGAGCTCTACTACTAACTACTAACTGACTACTAGGTCCAAACTACTGACTAACTACTAATTATTAACTTCCCATTACCTACTACCTACTACCTACTAGCTACTACCTACTACCTAC